TTAAATTATGAGACCTTTCTCAGTATTAGGGTAGTTGGAGAGAATATATATATATATATACAGAGAGCACAGGGTGAGTTGAATGTGAAGGGATGCTATGTAAAAAATAAAATTAAGGGGTGAGAGAATTATACTGGGAGAAGGAGAAAGGGAGAGGTAGAATGTGGTAAATTATCTCACATAAAAGATGCAAGAAAAAGCTTTTACAGTGGAGAGGAAGAGGGGGGAGGTGAGAGGGAATGAATGAATCTTACTCTCATCAGATTGGCTGAAGGAGGGAATAACATATACACTCAATTGGGTATGGAAATCTATCTTACCCTATAGAAAAATAGAGAGAAAGAGGATAAGAGAGGGGGTGATGATAGAAGGGAGGGCAGATTGGGAGAAGGGGTAATCAGAAGCAAACACTTTTGAGGAGGGACAGGGTCAAAGGAGAGAATAGAATAAATGGGAGAGCAGGATAGGATGGAGGGAATTATAATTAGTCTTTCACAACATGATTATTATGGAACTGTTTTGCATAACTTCTACAGAATTGCTTGCCTTCTCAATGAGGATGGGTGGGGAGGGAGTAAGGGAGAGAATTTAGAACTCAGAGTTTTAAAAATGAATGTTAAAAATTGTTTTTACATGCACTGCGAAATAAGATATACAGGCAATGGGGTATAGAAATCTATCCTGCCCTACAGGAACATAGAAGGGGAAGGGGATAAGAGTAGTGGGGAGTGATAAAAAGGAGGGCAGATTGGGGGAAGGGGTATTTAGAATCCACACCATCTTGGGGTGGGGGGAGGGGAGAGATGGGGAGAAAATTTAGAACTCAAAACCTTGTGGAAATGAATGTTGAAAACTAAAAATAAATTAATAAATTAATTAAAGGAAAGATTATGACAATAATGAGACAACATACCAACATTCTGGTGATCTAATAAAGCAGAGGATAAAATGTTTAACTCTAAACAACTTAATTAACAAAAAAGAGAGAACATTAAAAATTGGAAATGTAACTAAAAAGCAAACCTAGAAGACCAACAAATAGAAAAAAAACCAATTAAACTACAAAACAAAAATCAGGAAAATTAAGGAAGAGATACAAAATTGAAAAAAAAACTTTACTGAATTAATAAATAAAACTAGGAATTTGTGGAGGTGGGCAATAAAATAGAAAAAACAAGTCAATTTGATTTAAAAGAAGGTAACCAAATTACCAGTATAAAAATTTTAAAAAGAGAATTGACAACAATTGAAGAAGAAAAAGTATTAGAAAGCTATTTAGCCTAACTATATGCCAGTAAAATTCATAGCCTAAATGAAATGAACTAATATTTACATAATTATAAAATATCCAGATTAATAGAACAAGAAATAAAAAATTTAAATAACCTCATCCTGAAGGAAGAAACTGAACAAGCCATAAATGAACCTCGGGCATGAAGGGATGGGGAGAGGAACCCAGGACCAGCTAGATTCAAGCAAATTCTATCAAACATTCAAAGAAGAATGAAATCCAATATTACTAAACTATTTGCAGAATTATAAAAGAAAAGATCCTATCAAATCCTTTTTATGACACAAATATTGTATTAATACCTACAACAGGGAAAGTAAAAAAGAAAAAAAATCGGCCAATATTCTTTTTTTGACCAATATTCTTAATGAATATTGACACAAAAATTTTATGTAAAATCATAGTAAAAGGGGCAAAACAACATATCCCAAAGATTATATAGTAGGATCAAGTAGGGTTTGTACTAGCAATGCAGAGCTGACTTAACACTAGTAAAATTAAAATCTTAAGCATATTAGTAAAATAAATCACATAATTATATCTCTAGTAGAAAACTTTTGATACAATACCATGCCCATCTCCATTAAAAACATCAGAAAACATAGAACTAAATGGACCTTTTTTTAAACATGATAAATAACATATATTTAAAACCAAGAGTCGGCATTATATGTGATGGGGGCAAACTGGAATCCTTTTCAGTAAACTAAGATGTGAAACAAGGTTATCCATCATCACACTTCTATTTGACATAGTACAAGATATACGGCAATAACAAAAAGATAATAAAAAGAAATTAATGGAATAAGTGAAGGTAAAGAAGAAACAAAATGATTACTTTTTTGCAGATGATGTGATGGTGTAGTTAAAGAATCCTAGAGTCAAACTAAAAATTAATTGAAATAATAACTTCCATAAAGTTTTAGGATATAAAATAAATCCACACAAACCATCAGTATTTCTGTAGAATGCCATTAAAAGCCAGCAAGAAGAGATAGAACGAGAAATTTCATTTAAAATTATTACAGAATGTGTAAAGGGAGTCTACCTTCCAAATACATGTAAGAACTATGTAAGTACAACTAATAACCACTGTTTACAAAAATAAAAGCTAAACCTATATATATATTTTTTCTATTTTTAGGCAACTGGGGTTAAGTGACTTGCCCAAGGTCACACAGCTAGTAAGTGTCAAGTGTTTGGTCTGAGGCCGGATTTGAACTCAGGTCCTCCTGACTTCAGGGCCGGTGCTCTATCCACTGCACCACCTAGCTGCCCCCTAAACCTATATTTTTGAGAAACATTAATTGCTCAGGGAAGGCCAAGTTGATGTAAAAGAGTAATACCACCTAAGTTAATTTATTTATTAACTGCCACAACATCAGACTACCAAAGGATTATTTCATAGAACAAGAACAATAATAATGAAATTCATAAGAGGTCACAAAGAATCAAGAATCTCAAAGGAAATAATGAAAAAAAGTGTGACTAATGGGAGGCTAGCAGTATCATGTCTAAATCTATACTATAAAGCAGCAATTCTTAAAATAATATGGAACTGGTTAAAAAATAGAGATTGATCACTGGATCAGATTACATACACAATATACAGAAACAAACACACTTAGGAGCCCAGGGTTTGATAAACACAAAGACTCTAGCTACTGGGAAAAGGATTTACTTTTAGATAAAATCTTCTGGGAAAATTGGACAGTGGTATGGGAGAAATTAAATTTAGAACAATACCTCACACCATATACCATGATAAGTTTGAATAGACATGTCACCTGGATATAAAAAGTCACATCATAAACAAACTAGAGAGAAAAGGCAAAAATTGCTGATGACATATGAATTGAGGAAGAGTCCATGACTAAACAAGGGAGAGAGGAGTACAAATGATAAAACATAAAATTTTGGTTTCATAAAATTGAAAAGGTTTTGCACAAATAAATTGGATTAGAATGGAATCAGTTAACTGGGGAAAAATCTTTGCAGCAAGTTCTGATAAAGAACTATATATATTTGCAACACATACAATAAACTGATTCAAATTCATAAAATTAAAAGCCATTCATGAATTGATAAATGGTCTAAGGATATGAGCAAGTAGTTCTCAAGGGAAAAAAATCTAAGCTGTATGTATAGCCATATTTTTTTAAATGCTCCAAATCACTAGTAATTAATAAAGGAACTCTGAGGTCCTATCTCATAACCATCAGATTGGCAAAGATGACCAAAAAAATCCACAAATTTTGGAGAAGCTTCAAGATAAAAGGCACATTTATGAGCTGTTGCTGGAGCTAAGAATGGGATCCAGCCATTCTGGAAAGCAATTTGAAATTATGCATAACAGATTATTAAACAGTGCATGTCCTTTGATCCAGCTGTGCTGCTATTAGGCCTACGCCCCTAAAGAAAAAGAAAAAGAAAAAGTTCCTATATGAATAAAAATATCTATAGCAGCTTTTTGTGGTGGTAAAGAACTAGAAACAAAGTGGGTGCCCATTAATTGGGGAACAACTGAACAAATTTTGGTAGAAGAGTGTAATGGAATTATACTATTGTGCTGGAAGAAATAAGAAAAAAGATGATTTTAAAGAAATATGGAAAGACTTGAATGAAATGATACACAGTGAAGTGAGTAGAACTAGAAGAACTAGAATTTATATTATGATATAAATATTATACAAATGAATGATTTTGAAAGACTTAAGACCTATGATCAAATGATCAATTATGATTACAGAAAATTGATAAGGAATACTGTCTACTTTCTGACAAATTTAATGAACCAATATGAGAATGCTTTGCATGATACAATACAGGCATTTTCTTTTTCTCCTTCCTTCCTTCCTCCCTCCCTCCCTCTCTCCTTCCTTTTTCCTTCTTCCTTTCTTTCCTTCCTTCCTTCCTTCCTTCCTTCCTTCTTTCTTTCTTTCTTTCTTTCTTTCTTTCTTTCTTTTTCTTTCTTTCTTTCTTTCTTTCTTTCTTTCTTTCTTTCTTTCTTTCTTTCTTTCCCTTTCTCTCTTTCCCTTACTCCCTTTCCCCATCTCTCACTTTCTTCCTTTCTGTGGGTAAGGGGTAGTGAGAAGGAAAAAGGAAGATAAAAAGAATGCTTGATGGTTGAAAAAAAAGTAAAAAAAAATTATCTTCTGCAAGAAGCCTTTCTTGATCTCTCTTAATGCTGGTGCCTCCCCTCTATTGACTATTTCTGATTTATCTTGTATTTACATTGTTGCACAGTTACTTGCATGTTGTCTGTCATATTGTGAGCTGCTTCAGGGATTGTTTTTGCCTCTCTTGATATCCCTAACTCTTGACACAATCTGGAACTTAGTAGGTACCTAATAAATGCTTGTTGACTTTATTTGGATTTGTGTTTATTGACATTTATGTTAAAAATTTTAAAAGTTATTTTAAAAAGAGATTGTAGAGATTATGTATTTCATTTTACAGATGAGGAAACTGAGGCCCAGAGAATTTAGGTGACTTCCCCAACGTCAAATAGCTGATTTATGGCAGAACCAAGACTAGAACTCCATGTTCTGAGTCCTAAACTAATGCTGTTTCTATTACATCACTGCTGCCTGCCCAATTAGTTCTCTCACGCAGGCAGTATCTGTATGGTTTATGAGAGAGGACTTAGTCCTGAAGACTGAGTCTCCTAAATCCAATGGCATCTGATAGAGAAGCCCGTAGAACTTACATGGGCAACGACACAAAGCGAATATTTTTATTCAAGGCTTTAATGTTCTTCATTTCTTCATCAGTGAGTGAGAAGTCAAAGACCTGATACAAAGAAAACAGGAAAGAGTGAGATAATTCCAGGAGCATCACAATACACACTGAAGCTTTTAAGTAGGATGATGATCGACAGTATAAAACGATGATTGGTTAATCCCATAAATTCCTATAGATTCAAATGTCCCCTGGAAAGCCAAGTATAATCTGCTATAAGCCAAGAAATCAATGTTTTGAGGCTTTGAAGGGAAAAGTTATAGAAATTCTTGTTCATGGTGGTCTTCTTGCCTTTCTTGTAATCCCCGTCCAGCCTTAGTGCTCTTCTCTACTTTTTTGGCAGCTGAGCAGTATGGGAAGTCATACTGTTGTATGTTATTGCGTTGGTAAATGTTTAACAACCAGCTCTCTCTCCCCTCTACCCCAATGACAAACTTTTGAGTTTATTTCCATTATTATTTTCTCCATCACTTTCTTAAGTTTAGACAATTCACAAAAAGATAAATCTAGCCCTGATTTATAATATGTGCTTATTTCCCACTGGAAATTGAACAATTAGCTCTTTTTTTGGTGAGGCAATTGGGGCTAAATGACTTGCCCAGAGTCACACAGTGTTATGTGTCTGAGGCCAGATTTGAACTCAGATCCTCCTGACTACGGGCCTGTGCTCATCCACTGCGCCACCTAGCCGCCTAGCTGCCTCACAATTAGGTTTGAAAACCAATGTGAGCTGGCTTTAGCACACCTCTGGAATCTACCTACATCTCACTCAAGCATTTGATTGACTCAGGCTTCAAGATTGGTGAAAACCCAGGAACAGCAATTTTTTGGGAACATGGTTTGCATTTTGTAGCTTTAATATTTAAAGGCAAAATGCTGCCTAATATTTACAAGAGGGAAAAACAACAAGCAAAGTTATAAATTATCCTTCTGGCTTCCTTTCAATTTAAAAAGCTAGTTGTTGATTGGCTAAGATGTTCTATTTGGATCAGGGGCTTTTAATATCTTTGAATTTCATATGATGAAATCAAGCTAAGCAAAAACATTTCACATGCAAATGCCCTCAGTTAAACAACCTAAGAATTTAACTTGGAAACAGAATTGTGAGCTAAATGATTAGTTATGAATTTAATTGATTTTTAATTTTGGTAATAGACATTACCTAGTATTTGATCTTTAGCTGAGCTATTAACAAGGGTGATTCAGTAACTCTGAGCTCTTAGTTTATTGGTTCAGTTTTCTCATTCTGAAGTCATAGCATATTCATTTATGCTGGCTAATTCTTTAATTTTTGTTTTTACCGCACAAAATTATAGGCGTTGGTTATTATAGGGCATTATAGGGTTGGTTATCAGTTGCTTACATTGAAAGCAGACAAAGGTGGTTGAAATCTGGATGATCTCCAAGTCTCATTAATATCTGCCTGTGCCTGCAGTAAACTCTTTTTTAAAAATCCAGATATGCTAACAATTAGAAAAGTTGAGTGGTAGAAGTTTCAAGTTTTTTTTTCCCATTCTCACTTAATAAGTGAGAATTTCCCCCTTCTCACTTAATAAGCAATGGCAAGAGATCACAGAAGAAGAACAGGAAAAAATAATGGAACTGGATAATTCACAAATTAGAAATTCAGCCCCTGAATAATTGATCATTAGCTATAATTCAGTCAGATTAAATCTAGACACAGGGAAGTGATCCTAGGTAAGAGGTCACTAAGAAAACAAATAAAGAGGCTGCTTCTGGTTGAGTATTGGGGATTCACCTCTTTGTCATTGTTATTTGCAGTCTCTAGATTAAAGATGTAGTGCCCATTATATTGATACCTTTTCATGAAGTTCCACAAACTAGTATCTCACCTGGAAGTTTTCTTTTATCCTTTCCGCATTAAAACTTCTGGGAATGACAACTATGCCTCGTTGTATGTTGAAACGCAGACAGATTTGTGCTGGTGACTTATGGTATTTTTTACCCAAGGAGATTAGCAAAGGGTCTTCCAGCAAGGGAGGACACTCTAAGTTCACCCTTTCAACAAGAACAGAGCAAAAATCAAATGGAGGAACTTACCTTCCACCTTCCCCCTCTCCCACTTGATCATCTACAAAGATAATCCACACTAGCTAAAGTCAGGTTTTCCTGAATACATGGTAGGACCACAATAAATGCTTATTGATCCACTGATGGCTTCTTCGTGAAGGAGACCAAGTTCAAAGAGCTATCCAGGTCTCCTCTAGCTTTGTCTTCCATCTTGAGGGGAGGTGTTTCTTAATAACTTTCTTCTGTAACCTTGACAGATGAGGTAGGAAGCACATAGCTTTTGAAATTTTGGGACATAGTGCTAAAATTCCTAGTTATTTATCTTAGTTCATTAACTTTTATGTAGATTTCTATTATTAAAATTAATGTTCAAGTTTCCAAAGCATTTATGAGATGGAAAAAAATCAAAAGATAATATTTGTAAAGTGCTTAGCACGGTGCCTGGCACATAGTAAGTACTTAAAAATGTTTCTTTCCTTCCTTCCTTCCAGTATGGTATAGTGGGTACAATAATGAGTTTGGAGTCAAGAAGACCTGTACTCAGATCCTCAGTCTGATACTAGCTGCAAGATCTTGGTCAAATTACTTAACTGTCTTTTGCCTCAGGCAAAATTTAGGACTGAGCTATTAAGCCACAGATAGGTTGTCATCTTTATTGGTAAAGGGATTTCCTATACTGGGAAGTACTCTACCCTAAGATGTCAGATCTTTACTGTATGTATGTATGTATGTATGTATGTATGTATGTGTGTATGTATGCATGTATGTACATATAGAAGTCTGTGTATACAGAGGCACAAACTCACAAACTTATACACACTCACACCCACACCCACACATATACATATATAGATCTGCTCAAATTAAAATTATGCTCAAATTCACCTATAGATCTATAGTGTGGTACAGTGGAAAGAGTAATATAGTGAAAGGAACTGGGTTGAAATCCTATCTTTGACACTGAACTGTCAGCATTACCTTAGACAAGTCACTTAACCCTCCTAAGGCCTCAGTTTTCTCATCAGCTAAATGAAGAGGTTGGATTAGATGACCTCTAAAGTTCCTTAAGGGACAGCCAGATGGTGTAGTGCTGGGCCTGGAGTTAGGAAGATCTCAGTTCAAATCTGGCTTCAGACGCTTATTAGCTGTGTGACCCCGGGCAAGTCACTTAACCCTGTTTGCCTCAGTTTCCTCATCTGTAAAATGAGCTGGAGAAGAAAATGGCAAACCATTCCAGTATCCAAATGGGGTCACAAAGAGTTGTGAACAACAGCAAAGTCCTTTATGGTTTTGAGATCTGTGATGCTGTGATTCTTAACATCTAGCACAGATTTCCTGACCAAGAATGTATAATAGACTTACAGTAAAGCTACAAAAGATATTACTTATCTGGTATTGAGAAGCCTTCTGGTTGGTCTCTCCACTCCTGCCCATCCTCCACTCAGCTGTCTAAGTGAGCTTCTGAAAGTGTAGGTCCAACCATATCCACCTCCCCACTCAGCAAACTCCAATGGCTTCCTACTACCTCCAGGACCTAGTATAAAATTCCTCCTTCTAGAATTGAAAGCCCTTTATAACCTAGTCCCTTTCTACCTTTCAGGTATAGTAAACATAGGATCAAAAATTTTTCTTATTCTTACTTAATAAGTGAGAATTTCCCCTTCTCACTTAATAAATAAGAAGAAGAACAGGAAATATAATGGAACTGGATAATTCACAAATTAGAAATTCAGCCCCTGAATAATTGATCATTAGCTATAATTAGGTCAGATTAAATCTAGACACAGGGAAATGACCCTAGGTAACAGGTCACTAAGAAAACAAATAAAGAGGCTACTTCTGGTTGAGTATTAGGGATTCACCTCATTGTCATTGTTATTTGCAGTCTCTAGATTAAAGATGTAGTGCCCATTATATTGATACCTTTTTATGCAGTTCCACAAACTAGTCTCTTACCTGGAAGTTTTCTGTTATCCTTTCCGCATTAAAACTTCTGGGAATGACAACTATGCCTTGTTGTATGTTGAAACGCAGACAGATTTGTGCTGGTGACTTTCCCAGGGCCATGCAGCTATCATGTATCTGAGGCTAGATTTGAACTCAGATCTTTCTGACTCTAGGTCCAACACTCTACCCACAATACCACCTACCAGCTACCTCAGAGATGTATAACAGTAGTATTTATGTATAGCCCATGGAACATTGAAAGGATACTACTCATGTATAGTTATAAGAAACTATGAATAGATACTTCTTGCTGTGCAACATCTTTTCAGCATCATTAACTTCAAGCAAGAACTATTCCTTGCTCCAAACTGCATCCAACAGTTACTGGTTGCTAACTCTTCATCTTCTTGCTAATGATAAGGTGGTTATTCTCTGGTCATAGGATCTTTGTTTCTCTCTGTCCTTCTCTGTCTCTGTGTCTTACTTGTCTTTGGGGATGTAATCAGCTTAGCATCTGCAGAAGTTCAAGGCCAGGCATTCCAAAAGTTAGAGATGAATAAGATATAATACCAGGTCTCAAAGAAGAGCTGAAATGACACAGTGACAATAGAAGATAAAGTATAGTGGGGGGATGGGGGTTTCAGCCAACGACAAGGTTTATTAGAACATCAGTCATGTTGGGCAGACTCTTAAGGAGTCTGAACATTAGTGAGCTATTGACTAGATTTTAAGAATCTGAGCAGTAGCTAGATTGTAAGAATCCGAGCCTATAGCGGGTTTTTAAAAAGTATTAATTACATGCTATAGAAATTTGGAGTGGAATTCTATTTGGTTGGGTGAGTTGAAAATGACTTCTTATAAAAGGTATCTTATGAATTAGTGACTGAAGGAGGGATCAGATTTTAATAAGGCAGTCTGGGATGAAGGGCATTTCAGGCACGGGGGGGCACTAGTATCTTTGAAGAATGCCAAGTCATTCATAATGGAAAATCCACATCCAGGGAAAAAAACTACAGAGTCTGAATGCAGATTGAGGCATAATATTTTGTCTTTTTTTTCTTTCTCATGGGTTTTCCTTTTTGTTCTGATTCTTCTTTCACAACATGACTGATGTGGCGATATATTTAATATGATTGTACATATATATCAGATTCTTTGCTTTTTGGGGAAGGAGGAAGGGTAAGAAGAGAGAAAAGAATTTGGAAATCAAAATGTTGAAAACTATCTTTACATGTAATTGGAAAAAAAATACTGTTAAGTGAGGGGAAAGATTACATCACAGAAATTTAGGAGGAAATAAAAAAATGCCAGTCATCTAATTTAGCTGGATTATAGGGGAAAGGAAGGGGAAATGAGGCAGAATAGAGAGTGCTATACTTGGAGCAAGAAGGACCCAGATTCAAATCCTGTCTTTGACAGTTTCTAGTTGTGTTGACCCTGAGCAAATCACTGAACTCCTGAGCCTCAGGAAATGAAGATCTATCTACTAAGTTATAGGTGATGGGTGATACTGCTTCACTACAGATTTCCCATTCTGATGGAAACAAGAATGAACATAGCATGAAGTAAGACTGGAAAGGTATGCTGGGGCCAGTTTGTAGAGGATTCTTATGTTAGGTCCCTGGATCCTACAATGGTGTCTCCTTTAAGACACAAAGCCAGAAGTTGGCAAGATTCTTCAGTTCCTTCCAAAAGGAGATGATGGATACGAACACCTCATTATACATCAACCTAAACAGCGCCATTGAGTTCCTGTAATAATTTTTTTTCTGCAAGAACTTAATTGCATAGCCTTCTTGCTAGTGGCAAACTTTATCTTCTGGTGAATGGTTTGACACCTTGAATACCAAACTGTCTCTTGAACTTACTGTGTTGGCAACAGAGAATAACCGAAGGCTGCTGCTGTTGTTTTAGCAAGGGAATGATTTGATCAAACTTCTGTGTTAGGACTTTAACAGTAATGAATAAGATAGATGGGAGTAGGGAGAGAGTCTGTAGGAAGAATAACATGGGCTTCAAGCTTGAAACCGGTAATTTTTTTTTTTAATGAAAACAGTCAACACTTTTTTGACCAAAATAGCAAAAGTATATTTTGAGTAATCTTGATTCAAAATAACTATTAGAAAACTATAATTATCTTTAATTAATCTAGGATTTCACTATCCAAGCATTCTACTTTTCCTCTTTCCTTGCCTTTTGGCTCATTACCACCACCAAAACTAGTCATTACAAAACAAAGGTGAAATTTTGCTATTTTTTGCAGCTCTAATTTAAGGTTGAGCTTCCCACTTAATATAGCTAATTAAGAATTGACTGCTGTTTTTGTTTAGTTGTTTCAGTCATGCCTAACTTTTTGTGACCCCATCTAGGGTTTTCTTGGCGAAGATACTGGAGTGGTTTGTCCTTTCCTTCTCCAGCTCATTTTACAGATGAGGAAACTGAGGTAAACAGGGTGAAATGACTTACCCAGCATCACGCAGCTAGTAAGTATCTGAGGCTAGACTTGAACTCAGAAAGATGGGTCTTTTCTGACTCCAGGCCCAGTAGTCTAACTACTGCACCACCTACATGCCTCCAAGAATTGACAAAAGAGAGGCAAATGTAATTCAGATTTGAATCCTCAGAAACAACAGGATATGACATTACACGTTAATTCCTTCATTATGTAATTATAACATACTATTTCCTTTACTGTATACTGTTAAACAAAGTGAGATACAGAGATTAAGAAACCTCTGAGAAACATTCTGAGTTACATCATTTAAAATGAGCAGCACGTTTGTTAAAGAAAAATATCAACATCAATATTCCTGACGTGATTGTCAACATAAAAATGCTTAAAAACTTTTAAAAAATCAATTTCCTTCTCCTCTTTTTTGGCCTTGTTACATGATTTCCTTTTAGAAGAACACATCATTTCTGAAATCATAAGTTTTCTGTTTTTTGGTTTTTTAAGTTGACCTATTTCAATTCTTGACCACATTTCCTTCAATATCTGGCCAATTCACAGATAAATTTCAAGAGGTGTGATAGCAGGAAGT